CTGGTAATTCTGCCAGTAATACACTTACTGTCCTAGGGTGACAACGCTAACTTAGTTTACTTTATCTATGGAGAAGCAGCTTTGTCACCCTAGGACAGGAAGTTTGTTTGCACATCCAGCACACTCCCCTCTGCTCATCTCCATAGTATAGTTTGTTTGCACATCCAATACACTCCCCTCTGCTCATCTCCATAGTATAGTAGGGAGAGACTCTGTAGTTCACAGAAGTGAACCACTCGGGGCTGCAGTGTTCTCTCAAGTAGTGGTTCACGGAGGTGAACCACTACTTGAGGGAACACTGCAGAGTGCAAATATCACAGCACTGGATTGCTTGGATTACAATGCTTTAAATAGTATATTAAACAGACCGAAAGGGAGCATTGCTGGGTCTTACATAAACTTTAACTGTAGGATTCAGATAATATGGACAGAACTGTCTGTGTCTGTATCTAAACCCTTAACGTAGAATTATGACCTCCCATTAAAACATATGTGCTGCAACACTTAATTGCCTGCAAAGTCCCACAAATACCTGTTGATACTGCCAGTAAAGTCCACCTAATGCACCTTCATTTGGCGTTGCTGCAACAATGCTGCATTGCTCCTGGATGTAGAGTTGAATGACACATATAGGCTGTGCATGCTCGCAATGCAAGGGGCATAACTGTCAGCATTGTAGCTTCTGTGATTCGCAGGCCTGTAACTTGTCAATTAACACCTGGCCACACCCAATCCTGCCCAGTGCAGTGCCTCTGCTGCTGAGACCCTCCCACTGTGAGCTGCAGTGTCTGTGAAGGGCATCATGTGAGATCCAAATTAAGGAGAATTGGCTCAATCAGGGAGGGTAAAGGAAGTTCTTTCTTTACTGTATGAGGCTTGTGCATCACATAGTAACTCTACAATATTATTTTGTAAGATAATATGTTATTCCTTTGTATTCTTTTGAATTCATGAGTTCTTATTATTATTAAATTCCACTTTTTCTTTATTAGTTCAGGGTCTGGGAATGTAGCTGACCGTGTTCTAGCACAGTTGTTGACAGAAATGGATGGAATAGAACAACTAAAAGATGTGGTGATATTAGCAGCTACAAATCGACCTGACTTAATAGACAAGGTAAGACCTTTCTAATACAAAAGTATTAAGGAAAGTGTGTAGTAGAAGTTCTGCAATTTGACAGTTGAATGGTGGAGTGGAGTGTAACACCAGGAACTGTATGTGGTTAATACAGGTAATGATAGTATTCAATATCGAATGCTTTTTGTATTTCAAATACATTTATTTGAATGTTCTTCACATGTACATGCAGAACAAGCTGCCTGACAAAGTTACATTTACAGTAGTTGGGACAAACTATAACACTGCCAGGGGTGGTTGTATGGTTGCAACAAGCTTTTTTTTAAAAGATTTGCTGCCCAAGATGTAAGGCTTACGTTGGCAAAAGTACCGGTTTGTTTGCGTTTTTCCTCCTGGCTTTCTAGCAGAAGTGATTTGGGTGGCTGTAAAGCCACCTTGTCCCTTCTACATCTTTTAGAAGTTGGCTCCCCCCCACCAGACTTCCTTTCTTCACCTTGTGTCCTGGACTTTGCTGTGCCTAGGACCATCATGGCAGTGGTCAGGGTGGAGAGTGGTGGGAACATCTATTCGCTGATCTCCTCTGTGAAGAACAAAACTGGACGTGATCCGCTCTGATCACTTCCACTTAAGTTCAGAGCTGTCAATCTCTGGCTGCTCTGGCCAGGGATAAAGCTAGTCGAGCGCAGTATTATTATTATTACATAGTATTTATATAGCGCCAACAGTTTGTGCAGCGCTTTACAATATAAGGAAGACATTACAATTCAAGACAAGATAGTAAGGAGGGCCCTGCCCCTGAGGGCTTACAATCTGAAAGAGGAGAGGGAAATGATAAATGAGGAGGTAGCTGTGTGGGGATGAATTATTTGAGAATGTGAAGGTTCAGTGGTTAGGTCGAGGTGGGATAGGCTTCCTTGAAGAGATGAGTCTTTAGGGAACGCCTAAAGGCAGTCAAGGTGGGAGATAGACGGACAGGTTGGGGTAAAGTATGTGCTCATTTCGTTTCAGAAGAGTGCAGGGGTGACATTAGGGCTCTAATAGTCCCCTAATTTCTCCTTAAAGAGAAACTAACCTGACTATGCCATTCACATAGGGGGTTTATCAGCCCCCTTGTGATAGCAATAGAGTTAAGCAAAAAAAAAAAGAAAAATGTTTAACAATATAAATAGATGACCCCCAAAAATCACCCCCATGTACATGTACATATGAGCACAAGCACCTATGAAAACGATGATTGTGCCACATATATTAGTGTGTTCCTCATATATTTTTTTTCAAGAATACATTTTTATTTAATCTAATTTCATATACAATATCCACATATTACATAATAATAACAGTAGCGTCTACATCCAACAGCTATCTCTTATCTAAAATTGCTTATTAATTTCAGGGGGCACAAAAGAACAAGAAAAAAAATAAATAAAAGAAAAACTAATGCTTATGATCAATTGCATAATAAGCTAACCCACCATCATAAAAACTTATATAACTATAGGAACAAAGAACAAGGAACTATAGTGTTCCTCATATATTAGTGTACGAAAACGATGATTGTGCACACACAGGAGTGAGAACAATAATTCTAGGACTATTATTCACTATTATCGTTAACCGCTTCCTGGCTGGCCTTTGTAATTAAATGTCCCCACCCGTCCCGCAAATGCCTGATGAAGGGACCAAACGGGTCCCAAAACGTTGTGACACCACAGAGGTCAATAAAATATGGACTGAACTTGAGCTGGAGTGCGAGTGACTTCTTCATATTTACCCAACGTGACCCCATATTTTACCAAAAATATGGGTAAGAAGAAATGTTTTTTAACAGCGTAGGGAAGATGTTTTTTTTCTATATTTATGGTACTTTTTCATTATATAGTAAAAAAAAAATAATATCTGTGGTGATTAAATACTACCAAAATAACTGTGCCCCCCAAAAAATGCATGACTGAATACATGCCAGTCAGCTCTGAATACTGAAAAATGGCCTGGACAAGAAGGGAGTGTAAACACTTGGTCTTTAAGTGGTTAAATTGATGGCCTGTATAGGCTTTTAACCCTTTCGCTGCCACCGACGTAAGGCTTATGGCGGTACAACACTGTTTCCAGGTGGCCAGCTCAGTAAGCCTTACGTCAGTGACATTCTCCCTTCTGCTATAAGCTCATGGTCGCTTTAGTCACCTCGCCTGGAGGTGCTCCATGCTTCTCCTTGGATCCCCGCTACTGGCTGGCTGGGGGGCGGAGGAGGGAGCCGCTCAATCATGGTGATCGAACGGCATGAGAGGAGCCCAGCAAGGAGGAGAGAGCAGCTGCTGCCATCCTGTCAGTTTCCAGATGACAGCGGCTGTGTCCTTGGCCGAGTGGAGGATCGGTAAATATCATTGATATTTACCGGACCTCTGTGTGAAGGACAAACACTGGATCATCTGATCACTCCAATGTTTGTAAAAACCTGGGGACACATAGTACATCACTTCCTGTTCATTCATGAATTTTTTAATGGGGAGTATCACTCACTACAGAGGCTTCTCCCCATTCACAAACTGGTGATAGTAAATATTTTACTATCACCAGTTTCTGAATGAATGGGAAGCCTCTTTACTTTCCATTCATTTAGAACAGGGGCTGCAGAAAAAGAGATTGAGAATTCAATTTATTTCAAAAAGGAAATTTCAGGGGTCTGTTTTGACCCCTGATATTTCACCGCCCCCACAACAGTAAAAAAATTAATAATTACTAAATAACAATCAAAAAATGTTTTTGAATAAAAAAAATACATTAAACACTAACACGTGCAACAGTGTGCACCATATTGTGGTGTATGCCATGCATATGCGCTGTGCTGTAGCAGTGCATGTCAAAGTGTTGTGACACATTGTTGTGCGTTGTGATACCTTGTGTTGCGAATAAATGTACACCTGTGTCATTTTATGACAACACAAACACCAGCACAGCGCACAACGATTTATAACAAAAGTCGCCTATTTACAGTTTTGCGTTACTTCATTTTTTTAACGTTTCGCAAAAAGGCGCAATTTAAAATTTACATATATTTGTTATTTATTAACTCCATACAGTTTTATGTTTTAGATTTAGTCAGAAAAGTTTTTTTTTTGGTGGGCTGATACTGATTTCAGTGTGCTTTAGCAATTGAATTGTTTATTTTTAATGGTTTAATGTTGATTTGACAAACATTTGCGCAATTATTGCAGGACCTACAAAATTAGTAGAACCATCTTTTTATTCTACCAGGCCTGTGCTTTCAGAAAATATATGGTTTGGATCTTTTACAAACGCTAGCAACGCAGCAATAGGTAATCAAAACAATGGGAAAAATTGCAAAAATGGTTTGGCCAGCTGAGGTGCAAAATGTTCCGGAGGGCTTGACAGCAAAAGGGTTAAAGAGTGCCCTATGGACAATTTTGTGTACCATAGTGTTTCACAGTTTCATGGGTGTAACCAGTTTTAAGGTTTGACATGTTTTGGTATCTGTTTACTTGATCCAACTTCATCTTTTATATTTGATCACAAAATGGTTATTATATTGTGTTTCTGTGCATTAATATTAGTTTGAGGGTGTTTTGTTACTGAAAATATAGGTTTGATAAATAGTTGCACTAATATCGTGTAACATAAAAACTGCCACCATTTTATTATACAGGGTCTCGGCTTTCAGAAAAAATAATGTCTTTGGGCTTTTAAAATATCTCCAGGCCTAGAATGTGCATTTTAATGTGTGCAAATACACATAAAATGTAACCACTATAAGAATTCTTGGCAGTTTTCTAGTTTGTCCCAACCCTTGGCATTGTCCCTTTTGCTGGACAGCATGTAAATGTGTATCAATTTATATGTGCTTCTAGGTATAAAAACATTGAAAATAAGAAATAAAAATAATACATAAAATCATTATTATTATTGCATGTTTTTGTTGGATACAGTTATGAGACTGCACTATTTTTCAAAGCCTATTTTCACTTTTGTAGCCTAATTTGAGAAAACCCCTCTATATGTTTGTTATATGTTCCCATTCACCCAGCATACCTAGAAAAAATGTAAAAGGTATATTTCTTTTAAATGTTTCTTTGGTGAAGGCCTTTGTGCAGAATCCAGGCTACAGCAGTTTAAAAGTGAAACTAGAGGGTCAAACTGAGGGATGCACTGAGCTGCTTCTTCTTAACATACAACGCTCCTAAGTCTTTAACCCTTTATTAGGACATGCAGTGTTCAAATCTAGTTTGCAACTGATAATGAGATCTGCCAGCTCAGTACAGACTGGGTTGATTACAGTAAACATAATTTTCCACAGCCCCTTTGTAAAAGTACATAGGGGAAAGCTAGATAGGATTTTTAAGCAAACAAAAAGCACTTCAAATGTTCAATTTTTACTTTTGTGAATGGGAATTTGCAACAATTATGAAGTAGGTGTTATCCCAATTTGGCTGCAAAAGTGGAAATACACTTTAAATCCTTTAGTGGAATACTTGATTGAAGTATGTGCAGCAATCGTGTCATTTTCTTGTTTTTTTGGGTTGTTTCCTCAACATAAAATTTGCCACAATAGCAAGTAATACAGTGTTATCTATTACATGTGGTGTATTACAAATGTAATCATCTTTGCAGTGTCAGAGTCTCTGTAACACCCAGAATGTATAATTTAATGAAATAATACAGTTAATATACTCTGATGTGCAACATGGAATTTAGACAGAAATATGTTTTCATTATGCAAATCTGTTTAGTAGATTGCTATTGTAATGGTATTATAGGTGTGGTTTTATGCTTCCATGCGATTAATAATAATTAGTAAAGTAGAGAACACATCTGATTATCTACGGTACACCTACTGTAACTGTAAGTATATAAATGTAACTTTTTGGGTTTATTTCAACCACTGAGAGGAGGAAAATGAACAATTGCTTATGTGCTTACATAATCTGTGAGGACTACATAAATCTCATGTGTACATGTTTCTCATTCATGGATTTTAGAAGCTAATTTTAGTTGTCTGAACTCTGTGAAGATAATGAAAGTGTCAT